ATATGTGTATATGTATATCTGCGTGTATGTGCGTGTTGTTTAAAAGGTAAACCAACAGCAAGCCACCAATTTTTGGGCGAATTGCCTTGCAGAAGGGGTCTTCCCACATCTTGAATGGCCCTTCCAGAAGCGAGTACTCTCAACCACCAAAAACATAGGTGCAATATAAAGTGAGCTGGTAACCCGCCAAGGGTAACACGGGGTATGTACCGCCGCCCTTACGCTCGCTGCACTGCCAGGTAGCTATGCGCCTTCCTCACTTCTCCTAGGCGGAGATTTGGAGCCGGTGGAGCCTTTCAAAATCGCAAAGATAGACTTTCAGATTCGGTTTCACATGGCTGTGGCTCAAATGAATGTACCAAGATGGCATCTTCGTAAATGGAACCAAAGACTAGAACCTGCGGTTGGCCCTAGCTCGTGAATTTTAAGCCACACCCATATTTAGTTTACACTGTATAAACAATAGCTTTGGAAGAGACCCCAAGTAATACCAACCTGGGTCTTTCATTCGCTTGACTCGTTTATCGTGCAGGAGGGATTCATAGCCATGGCACGGAAACTGGCAACCTAAAATCCAACTGTGGATGCACGCAATCCATTTCGCACCACCTAAGAAACCCTGGTTTCTGATGAGCCCCCCGGAAAAACATACCAACAACCAGTGGCACGAGGACTCACGCCAACAGCGAACGCTTCATGGGTCAATGGGGAAACCTTCGCTTGTACGTTCCAGGTCACACGAATTAAGACCACCTGAAGGGATAAAACGATCCTTGTCCGCCTTTCGGGCGCAGAACTCTTGTGGGAAGTCTGCAAAAATAAAAAACAGCTCTAGGGGTAGCTTCCCCATTCTTTTCAGGGATCCTTATTTCTAGAAAACCACCAAAAACCCTGGGAACATGGCTGGTGTTTGAAGAGAATGATGGCTGAAAAGAATGGGGAATCAACCTCTAGAACAACCCTAGTAGCCGAACACCCTGGGTGTGGCTATCAGTTCTTCTGCAAACATCTTGATCGTTTCTCATCAGTGTGGTTTCCGTTCCCCCTAATAAACGCGGACCCCCCCCCCAGCCAATAATACATACTCTCCGGGGGAGAAAACATATTTATTCATAGCCGACCGGATTTCCTCTTCGTCCTCGTCCAAATGGGCTCCCCCCCTTCCCGGACACGAAAACCCTCAAAACCGCAATTTTTCGAGTAACGAATGTAAACGAAACCGTTCAAGGTTGTTTCTTCGTTTTTGCGGTTCAAAAGTAAATGGCGCAGTTTGAACTTAGAATTACAATTCACAAATACATGTAAATTGGTAAAAGGCATGCATTTAGAATTGGGTATTGGGTTGGTGCAAGGAGCCCCCCAAGAAGGCAGGGGCTGGTGTGGGCGGAGACATCGGACAAGTTTAGTATTGGTTTCCAGTCTGGGAAAAAAAGTCTATTATTAATAGGATCCATTTATCAAAAGGGGGAACGGATTAACCAGGTTTCTTCTCTCTGGAATTGTTGTTTCCTTCAATTACCAACTGCAATGGTACTTGGAGGCTCTAGGAGACTTCATGCTTTCAACGTTCAGTAAAGGACAAGGCCCCCTCTTATGACCACCTTAGTGAGCGCTGAAAAATCCGCTGACCTTCGCTTCTACCGATTGATAAATTTACATCTTGGTTTTACTTCTGATGGTTTCCCCTGGTTAGCTACTCTTGTGGCTTGTGTGGAAGAACTAGGTTTGGGAGGAGACACTTCCCTATCTGCAATACTTTTATGAGAAATCGAGTGAACACATTCCATACGTCAAGGGACTCCAACCATTGCTGATCGAAGGCTTCTGAAAAGTTTGTTCAGCTTCCTTGCAATTGTTTGGACTGGTGGTTTGGTGGTGAAACGGGGCGGTGTTCCATTTACAATCTACCAGAGGTTCAAATCCCAAACCAGCCAATCCAAATCACCGATTAAGGATTACCTGAAATGCAACCCATGGGACCTTAACCAGGTCCTACAGTAACAAGGATAGAAGAAGGGTACCCTTTTTCTCTAGTCTATTTAGAAGGGGAACCCTCCCAACCAAAAAAGGGGTGAGAAGGGGCACCTAGCTGGGGGACCTAGCAGGAAATGCAACGCATGGGACCTTCAAGATGCACTCGCCCAACTGCGCGATCAACATCCCATGCCCCCAACTCCCGCTCCTCGGTGATGTCCGGGATGCTTGTGATGATGGCTGTCTGGGCGAAACCAAGACGTTGGTCAGTCTTGTTCTTCCCGTTCCCATCAAAGCCAGAGGGGGGTCCCCTCAAACAAGAGCGGACCCTGTGATATGTGGTAGAGGTGTTTTTTGTTTTACTAGGTCCGGATTTTTACGAGGTCCGGTCTTCCGCAAAGCTGCCAACATCCCTGGCATCACCAACATCACTTGGACCTGGGGTTGCCTATTGGCTCTGATTGGGTGGCAGTTGGGAGTTGCTGGGGGCTGGTTTAAGTTAGGGGGGTTTTGGCTGGCTTAAATCTTCATGAGGGTGGGTCTTGGGGTGGTTTGGCGTTGATTTAGGCGAAGCGAAGGGCTGACATCCAGGCTGCTGTTGGGCGGGTTTAGGGTTGGGTTTGGGGTGGCTTGGACCTGAAGCTGCAAGTGACTGGTGGCTTCCATTGAAACGATCGCCACTTTTGGAGGTTCCAAAACGGCAAATGGAGAAAACCCTCAAATTTCCTCCCCAAACATAAATCATATGTACATATATATATATATTAATATATACGTAACCAACAAAAACAAGTTGCGGGCTTTGGGCGCTCCCTTTTTTCCAACACACCTCGCGGCAAGGGCCCCGGCGTCGGCTCACGCCTTGCGGGTCCACTTGCATGTAGGCGGCCTAGCGATTCGCCGTTTCGTCTAAAGCGGCTCCCTGTGAACCCTGAGCTGTGAAACAATGATGACAGGCTATGAAACAAAGTTGAAAAAAAAATGTTTGGAAATTTGTACTAAAATAGAGATGCCTGAAATGCCTGGCCATAAGAGAATCAACCTGAGAATCAACCTGTTGGTCGCCTTTACTAACAGAATGCAGAGCGCTACCCAGTGTTTGCGGTTAAAACTGGAGGCAACCAGGTGTTGCCGTGTAAAACCTTGAGGTAAAACTGCCCAGGGTGCCTATGGCGATACGCGTCCAAAGGAAGCAATATATGCTTCAAGTTTGCCTCAACTGTCGATGCCTGAGGCTTCTTCGCTTTGCTTCCTTGCATTTGCCTGGAAAAACACAACACAAAATCCAGTTGTGATAGATTGATTCCCTTTACCGTTTCGAACTTTAGTCACTTTTTGGGTTTGGACCATGTTGCTGGTACATAAAGAGTTCCAGGACTTTTTATTGGCCAATCCACTCGATCGGAAGTGAGAAGCATCATTCAGCAAATCGAAATCAATGGAAGCTTCCCGGCGTTTCTGCTCTTGCGCAGGCCTCTGCGAGTGCCAAAATCGCCAGGAAACGAAGAGCCATGGAAGACCTCACAAACATCGGCCGACGGCGGTCGAGCATGGGAAGTGTGTGCCAACCACAAACCCCCAGATCCTCCAAACCAAACCACCAATTAGAGGTTTTTGTTGAGGGTTCTCGTAGAATTTGGCGCCGAAAAATAGATACTCCTGTTTGACCCCTGGATTGCAAGCCCAACTCCATACGAACGGGGAATTGTGCTGGGCCCTGTGGACCTCAAAATGAGGGGTGTGTTCTAGGGAAATTTTGAAGCCTTCATTTCGGCGTTTCGCCACTATAACTTTGGGAAGCCATCGGAAGCAAAACGTATGAGGTAAATTATTCTGAAGGGTCCCCCACTGTGGCAAGACGCCGAAAGGAAGCACTGGGGGGTCCAGATCTTTCAGGACACACGTGGAACTTTGGGGACCAAGGCGTCTTGGGGTGTAAGGCCTAAGGGGTTGTTGGGGGCTTGAGCTAGGGCTAATCGGCGAACCCCCTTTCGGTTTTGGAAGGGTGGGAAAACCTGCCCGGTTTCTACTATAATATATAACGATATAATGTGGGAATATCTATTTGTATATACGTACGTCTATAAATTTCAAAGAATCTCCAAAGTGGCCGGACAGGCTCCTACAGAAAGCTCATGCTAAACTGGCCCAGATGACGCTTTCACTAAGCCAGGGAGGCGGAAGCTTTGCTTCCATTTGGTTAAGAGCCCTGGGAAAATCAAAACAACTTATTCCAGTAGTTTCAGATTCCCTTAAAAACTAAAAGGGAACATTAAAAACATGTTCTTAAGCAAATTGACCCTTTGTGAGCCCTGTCTAGGTCCTCCAGTAGAGAGGACCGAATAAGGGTACCCTTTTTTTCTGTAGTCTATTTTAGTAGGGGAACCCTCCCCCAAAAAAGGCCTAAAAGTTGGCACTATTGGGGGACCTAGCTGTGCTCTCAACCTGACTTCAGCCCGCGGCATGGAGTCCTGAAATGAAGACAGGGACTTGTCTCCGCCGATGTCGGCTCGAGCCAAGTGCTGTGAAAAACGTGCGCGTCACCCACGCACCAAACGGCCAACCGGAACAACATGGGGGAGGCTTCTCAAAGTCGAGCACCCCAGAAAATAAGTCTTCTTTTGGGGAAAACCTGGGGGGCTTCTCAAATTCGAGGACCAGAACATGAGTTTTCTTTTGGGAAAAATGGGTCCATCATTTTGAGAAACCCCCACGCGGCTTCCGCGGCTTCCTCTACCTGTTGTAATTGGAAGCACACGATAAAACACATTGCACGAGATCGGTTTGCCAGCGTCGCATCCGAACTATCCAGCTTTCCCGCTCTGCAATACATTTAGGGCAAAACCATGGGAAAATCATTACATTACGAGGTTTCCTGATTCCCGTTGCAATATTATGTCAACACAGTGGTGAGAGGCGGCAATTTTCGAGGTTTTCCCTGGTTCGCCCTGCACAAAACCGTGGTGACAAGCGCTGAACTCCGAGCTTCTCCTGGTTGCTCTCTCGGTCAAATCGGCCGGCAGCGCCCGGCACGTGCATTCGGCCCGGCCTGGGAGTGGGCCCAACATGGCGGACACATCGGCGCTCGGTTTCCCAGTGCCAGGCAAGCCACTATACTTGCTTGATGTTGGAAGGGGAGCAAACAATTAAATTTTAGCAGTTGAGTGGTTGGAGTGAAAATTCACTCAACCACAATGAGCAAAAATAAGCAACATGTTTCCCAACAACAACCATGAACTCCACAAAGTTGGGTTTTTTTCCCCCTACCCTTCGTCTACCTGGTTTTCCGTTGTGGCTCCATGGAAATGGGAGAAATCACCGGGGAAGGGTACTGAGACCCTTGCAAACAACTGTTCACTTTTGGGTCTGAAGCTCACGGCGTCGGGCTTGGGTTTGTCAAAGGCTACGTCCAGGTATGACCCATGGCTGGGAAACCCCACAATTCAACCACTAAGCACATAAACATGACACTAAGAAACCCCACAATTCAGGCAAGAGTGAACTCACCCAAAAACTATTCAGGTTTGCACATCAGGGTATTTAACACTTATGCGCCACAAAGCCTGGGCGAGAGGCTGCAAGACGTTTACACATGGGTGTGGCTCAAAATTAAAAGATCGGAGGGGCAAACCGCGGATTTTGGTCCATGTTTCCACTCACCAGGGCAACCCATTTTGGTGCAGCGGTTGATTTGAGCCACAGCCACATGGCACTGCAGATCGCGCCTTGAAGCCTTCGCCTTCAGCAGGAGCTGCATCCATGCGATTGGGCTTCTTGAAAGAGAAGCCGCTTCAAAGGCACTGATCTCATCAAACAAATATATAAAGTCTGGCAAGCAGGTCATAATTCGCACGTTCGAAATCAGAAATCCTTAAGTAAGGGACCTTCATCATGGGACCTAGCGCGCTTTATCGCCAGGGGGAGCTCATAAAAATATCTAGGTCCTCCAGTAGAGAGGTTAGAATAAGGGCACCGATTCTTTTCTCTGTAGTCTATTGTAGCCACGGGGAACCCTCCCAACCAAAAAATGCTTAAAAGTTGGCACTACTGGGGGACCTAGGCAATGCTTCTCAAATAAGTCCGGACTTGTACATTCAGCCCAGCGCCACACGCTCCCTGAAGTCCTCGTTTTCCGCCCCAGCACCCCCAGAGTTTGGGACAAGGCTTCGCTTAGGCCAAGAAAGCGCCCTTTTGACTTGCTAACAACGTGGCGCAAAAAAGTCTAAACTGTCTATTTACCACTAAAATGGGCCAAACCCAAAGAGTGCCCGAAACGGAACGAAGGAAGTGAGTCTTTCATCCAACTCAAACGTTAACAAGGACCACCCCCGGGAAGCCGCTCGAGAACTTCCGAAGGACTCGGTTTGGATTGAGTTGTCTCTTGTGTCCTTTCCCTGACACATAGCAACAATTACCGTTTAGGGTCTGTCTGTCTTTACGGGACTCCCCTAAAACAATTGTACCTATATATCTAAATAGCGGTTTTTCCGTTGGTTCCCTTTAACCCCCCACCCCAATAAAGGAGGTACCAGCAAAAAAAAGACGCCTGCTACTAACATTGGTCATTCCAGCGACTGCTCTTCAATTTCAGCCCCCTGGGCTTCACAAGGCGTGGGGTCAGATTCTCACCCCAGATGCCCACTGGATTTCGATGGGAAGACAAGGGCATCCGATTTGTTTTGGGTTGGTTGACTTGCTTAAAGGGGAACCCTTCTCCAAAAGAAGGAAAAAGGGGAACCACTGGGCAACTGGGCAACTTGCGTAACTTGTGGGTTAAATTCGGAAACTCAACCACTTAACCAACTAAACACCACTCAAAACCCTGCTCGGGGTCCTTTAAAAAAGCTAGGAGCTGGAGACGTCTTGTCTCAGTTGCTCCTATGCCCTATAGGAGGACCCCCGCCAATTTTCTTTCTGGCCATCTATACAGGTAAATGAAATGAAATCAAAAACTCCCCCTCCCAACAGCTCAAGAACCTTCTCGGGGCAACACTGGGCTGGGTAAAAAAGAACATGTGTTTGTATGTGTTTCCCTTTACAAGCATCCAACACATATCCAAAAAGGGGTACCCTCAAAAACCGACACCCATACTTTTGTAGGATAAGCCCCCGCATCACGCGCTCGCGAATATTGGCGCTCGCCCAAAAATCGAGTGCGCGACCGCAGAGCAGGCCGTGCTGTTGCCACAGCTGCTGCCCTGCGGACAGACCTGGCGGTGCAGATCTGAGATCAGTTGTACAAACTTGGTTGCTGTTGCACCCCCCTGCAAAAAGCTTGACTTGTTGGGGGTTTAGTGGAAAATCCCTTGACTTCCCAAAAAGTTGAAGTCTAAAGATCCAACCCAATAGCAGTCAAGCAAATGGGCTATTGCAACCCAACATGATGGTGGGTAATTCTAACTTGCGTTTTGATGTTAGTAATTCTTTCGGGTTCCAGGTACCCTTTTGGGTATCTCACTTGCCCAGATTGTAACCCACCCTTTTGGGGTACCTCACTGTCCGCTTGCCACTGAGGCTTCATGAACC